TCCTCCTCCTCCTCCTCCTCCTCCTCATCCTGCGTGCTTGGGGCTGCTCAGCGTGCAACAGCGTCATGCCCGCATCGCACCCACTCGCTAACCCCGTTTGACCGCACACTACCACCCGCCATGGCCGAGTGGAGCGAACATGCCCACTACGGCAACCCTACCGGGCCCGTCGGCATCCCACCCGCCGTCACCGCGCTCAGCTTTGACCCTTACTCCGAGCTCCTCTGGCAGGGCACCTCCTTTGGCACCGTCTCGTCCCTCTACTCCTCCCAGCTCTCCCGGTACACCTCCTACCTCGCACACGGCCTCCCCACGCATCCTTCGCCCACCAAGGGCATCCTTGCAGACGAGCGTCACATCTTTTCCGTCGGCGACAATGGCATCAAGGCTGCACAGCGTCGCGGCTTGGCAAAGTGGTCCACGCTCACCCATGACTTTGGCGCCGACAGCATGAACCTCGTCTCCATGTGCGCTTCGCCCCTCGCCGCCTCTTCCGACCTCGTCGCCGCCGGCCTCTCCCAGTCCGCCGCCAGCACGGGCGAGATCGACAACGACAACGACCTCATCCTCACCGTCAACAACAGCACAGGCGCCCTCCTCCGCTCCGTGCCTTCCGAAGCGCCCATCGTGCATGTTCGCAAGAGCGGCCGCTACATCTGCGCAGCCACCGTCACCGGCCACATCCAGCTCCGCGACCCACGCACGCTCAAGGTCGAACATCGCCTCCACGCTCATCCGGGCGGTCTCGTCGACGTCCAGGCCGACGGCAACATCCTCTACTCGGTCGGCTGGACCGTCCGTCAGGGCCACCCGGTCCCAGAGCCCCTCATCCGCGTACACGACCTCCGCTCCATGCGCGCCCTCGTGCCCATCCCCTTTGCCGCTCCCGGCGGCCCCTCGCTGCTCGCCATCCACCCCAAGCTCTCCTCCACCATCATCGTCTCGGCGCCCCAGGGCCAGTTCCAGATCGTCGACATCGCCACCCCCGGCGAAGGCCGCTTCTTCTACACCAACGCCTCCTCCTTCACCACCTCCCTCGCCGTATCTCCCTCCGCAGACTACATCGCCTTTGGCGAGGCTGACGGCAGCGTGCGTCTCTGGAGCAGCTCCTCCGACACCTCCAACCTCCGCTTCAACACCTTCAACTCCTCCGCACTCGACTTCCCAGACATGGCAGAACCCACGCCCTTTGTCAACTGGTCCACAGAGACCCCGCTCTCGTCCATCGGCATGCCCCACTACAACGACAAGCTGCTCTCCTACTTTGACCACGACGACTACGTCTCCGAAGCCTCGCCCCTCTTCAACCCGCCCTCCAAGATCGACCCCGCCGTGCTCAACAACCTCAAGACCGTCGACTATCTCGGCTACGCCAGCCTCCCGCCCCATCTGCGCGGGCAGCGCAACCTCGTCACGGGCAAGGGCCCCGGTGGGATCCGTGCCAGCGCGCTCCATCGGCCCGAGGACCGCAAGAAGATCGGCATCCCTCTCTTCCGCAGCGAAAAGGAGAAGGAGCAGAGCAAGAAGGCCGCCGCCGCTGCTGCTGCCGGCGTCAGCGCTGCAGACAAGAAGAAGAAGAAGGCCGACAAAAAGCGCGCAGAGGCAGGATCCGACAGCCTCTCCGCTTCCGCCGATTCGCGCGTGGAGCGCAAGCAGGCCTCGGACACGGCTCCAGCATCATCGCGCGCCACCACCACCGACTCCAAGATGGCCACCAGGCAAACCAGTCCTACCGACGAGTCCGGCGAGCCCTCCAAAGCTGCCGCTGCGGCCTCGGACAGGGAGCACGACTCGGATGATGATTCGGACGACTCGGACGCTTCCGATGAAGAGCAAGGTCAGGAGGACTTTGAAACGGCCGAGGCAATGCTCGCCAAGGGCCAGATGCCGTCGTACTACCGTCTCAAGACGATCCAGTACTCGCGCTTCGGCGTCGAGGATTTCGATTTCGACTTTTACAACAAGACGCCCTATAGCGGTCTCGAGACGCACATCCAGAACTCGTACGCCAACTCGTACCTGCAGGCGCTCCACTATCTGCCGCCGTTCCGCGAGATGGCCAAGGCGCACATCCTGCACGACTGCGCACGCGACAATTGCCTGCTTTGCGAGGCGGGCTTCCTCTTCCGCATGCTCGAGGACGCACGCGGCGCCAATTGCCAGGCGTCCAACTTCTTGCGCGCGTTCGGAAACAGCCACAAGGCGGCCAGTCTCGGGCTCATGGATCGCGAAGACAGCGTGACCAACGTCTCGGGAGGCAGCAGCGCCGGTAAGAACGAGATCGTCTACAGCCAGCTCGTTCAGACGCTCAACCGGTTCGTGCTCGACTGCACCGCGGCAGAGGCACAGTCGGTGGCCAGCACGGCAGCTGCGGCCGCAGCAACAACGGGATCTCGAGGGCCACCACCGGGTTTAGGTCCACCCATGAGCAGCAATCGTGGCGGTACTGCTGGAGGGCGTCGGCCAACGGGCGAGCCTGCGTCGCCGACATCGGGCAGCCAGACCGACAGTGTGTCGGCAGCGAGCTCGCCCGTGGCCAAGCTGTTTGCGCTCGACGCGCAGACCAAGACGGCGTGCATCCACTGCGGGCGCGAGTCGAGCCGTGCAAGTCCCGCGCTGAGCGTCGACCTGGTCTATCCGCGCCGGCCGATGTCGAACGAGGCGCCTGCGCCCGCCGACTTTGCGTCGGTGCTGCGGGCGTCGCTGGTGCGCGAGATGCAGAACCGTGCGCCCTGCCGCGCATGCCAGTTCACCGCCATGTTCCGCACGCGCCGCGTCATGCCGCCGGCGGCGGAGCTGCCGCGCGTGCTGTCGGTCAATGCGGCCATCCAGGCTCCCGAGCATCTGCACTACTGGTTGAACGACAGCCAGGGTGCGCCCCAGCCGGCCCCGCACCCAAGGCACGGCGCGATGCCCCACCAGCCGTATGGAAAGCAGCCCTTCGGCCGGCGTGCACACAATGCTGGGCCGGAAGCCAGAAGCGACGGCGGTGGTGGGCAGGACGAGGAGACACGCACCTACCTGCCTCCGCGCGTCGCGATCGGCGTGCAGGGCGACGATGTGCGCGTGGTGCCAATCTACACGCCTGTGGATCTGGAGCGCGCCAAGGCGAGGTTGGGGAACTATGCGGTGTACCGGCTGCGCTCGATGGTGGTGCAGATCTCGGCGGACAAGGAGCAGCCGCATCTGTGTGCGCTGGTGCGCGTGCCCGAGGCCGAATGCGGCGATGCCGTGACGCCGCGCATGGCGAATGCGGGTGCAGCGGGTGTGAAGAAGGTGCGGCAGAAGGGCCAGGTGGGGCCTTGGTACCTGTTCAACGACTTTTTGGTGCGCAACGTCCCGGAAGCCGAGGCGCTGGGATTCCAGAATGCGTGGAAGATGCCTTCGGTGCTCATGTGGGAGCGCGAAGACATGCCCGCACTCTCGGTGGACGAGCTGCGGCAGGGACGTACGTCGATTGACCCGACGATCCTGTGTCGCGACTACAACATTGCGCTGCATCGCGATCCGGCGCGGATCAGGCACAGCGTTCTGACGCAGGACGAGTTGCCGAAGCCGGGCACGTTGGTGGCGATTGATGCCGAGTTCGTAGCGCTCAACCAGGAGGAGCTCGAGATTCGATCGGATGGCACGCGGTCGGTGATCCGGCCGACGCGGCTGTCGCTGGCGCGAGTCTCGGTGGTTCGTGGACAGGGGCCCAAGGAGGGCGAGGCGTTTATCGACGACCACATCCACACGCACGAAGACGTGGTGGACTACCTCACCAAATTCTCGGGCATCCTACCGGGCGATCTGGACCCGAGCACCTCTTCGCACACGGTGGTGCCGCACAAGTCGGCGTACAAGAAGCTGCGACTGCTCGTCGACTGCGGCTGCATCTTTATCGGCCACGGGCTCAAGAAAGACTTCCGCATCATCAACATCTTTGTACCCCCGAGCCAGGTGATTGACACGGTGGATCTTTTCCACAGCCCCAACCACCCTCGACGTCTCAGTCTGCGATTCCTCAGCTGGTTCCTGCTCAAGATCGACATCCAGTCGGGATACCACGCCAACAACCAGGTCACGGCGCGACTCTCGCAGGCGTCGCAGCAGGACTCTCCCGCAAAGTCGACGGTGGAAAGTGTGGCCAATTCGGCAGCGGGGGCGGGAAGCACAGCGGTCGAGGGCGGACACGACAGTATCGAGGATGCCCTGGCGGCGTTGAAGTTGTTCCGCATGTACGAGGTGTTCAACTCGTCCAACCGGCTCGAAGACGTGCTGGAGGATATCTACGAGGCGGGCAGGAGGCTCAACTGGAAGCCGCCCAATGCTGTGTAGCGCACCGCAATGCAATGTCAGATACAGTACCAAAACGTGCGCAGTGGGTGCCCATTGCATGATTCCGGCCATCTCGGAATGCTTGGGTGAGGCAGGGCATTCTGGGTGTTGGCAGCGTCAGCAGCGACACGCGCCGCAAAGATGGGGAGCCAATCAGAACGCGTCTATTGCAAATGCAATATCCCACGTCCTGCGCTAGATGCACGCTCGTCCGCAGCCCACAGACACAGTGCCGCGGTGGTTGGCGTGAAGACGGTCTCGCTGCTTGGCGCGAATCATTGGATGCGAGGTGGAGCGGTAGTGGAGCCGCAGAACAGCCCTAGCTTCTCCGCCGGGAAAGGCATGGCTGGCCGCAATGCCGAGACAAGGACATTGTGCCGGAGTCCGGCAGTGCAAGTGAGGATGGCGGATCGGAAAAGCGAATCCGACGGACGCTGTTCTGGGGCCTGATAGCCTCGAGTGAGAGGTCGAGATCGAGGAGCGTCGCTGTGCTTAGCCGATGGAGCAGGGGGGGTGGCCAGCAGCTACGTAATGGACAGCCAGACCCGCGTATGTGCGGGGCGGAAGCGGCGCATGAAACCCGGCGGACACTTTGGCTGCACGGCGGAGAGCGCAGGCCCACGTTTGAATTTGCAATTTCGCGCATTCGCGCAAAGAATCTCCCCGACGCTGTGTTCATCGATGCATCGCAGCTCTTTGCTTCTCTCGGCCAGGCGGCTCCCGCAGCTGGATCAGTCGTCGGCGGCCAAGCCGGCCTCGCGCTTCCGTGTGCTCGGCGTCATGTATCTCGCCGGATCAACGAATCCGCCGAAAGACGAGCGTCGATTCGAGGCGCGATTTCATGTGCCGGCTGCTGCGGCTCACATCGGGCGCAAAATCCTGGGTGGAATAGTGCGCGGCAATGCACCTGTGCGCTCCTCGGGGGTGAGAATGGATGCGTAAGGAACAGCCGCTCGCCTGCCCGAGCGAGGCCGTTTCTGGATGCCGTCGGCTGGGCTCCGACCTCGAATCGACTCAGACTCGAATGCAGCAAGCGGAACATCTCGAAAAAGTAGCCGCCCTCTCGAGCGCACTGCATTCATGCCCGTCCGCCCCCTTCCCTTTTGACGAGCGGTTGACCGGACCAACACGTTTCCACCTTGTTTCTATTCCATCAACTCCTGCCATCTCTCTTCTCAATTAACGGCAGCCTGTTCTTGTCTTGCCACGCCAACCTCACGCAACTCTGCCGACGCGCCAAACGCACCGCAGAATCCGCGGCTCCAAAGCTTATCGAGCTCAAAGCTTTGGCTTTCCGAGCGCTTGCTCCGAAGCGATTCCCACCCTTAATCGAGCTGAGCAAGAGTTGTGCCTCTTTCCCGCGCTTCATTTGCACCCTTTGCTCGAAGTTTCGCAAGCGACAACTTGCCAGTCACAAACTCGGGCATCGGCTCGTCCGCATCGATTCCCCCGAAAGACGACATCGCACCTCGCGTCGGCTTGCCCGATAACAATCGCCTCTGTTCTAACCGCCACTCTGCTACGACAGCCCGCGAACCGACGCTGCATGCTTGAAATGCTTACGGCGTGACCATTGCCAGCCTGGTGTTTTCCAGAGAAAGCCGCTTGATCGATCGGAAGCCCAGTTCGGTCTGGGCCAGACGACTTTCCCCAACAATGCCTCCCGCCTCTTCCATCGGCAGCAGCAGGCGCAAGCTCGGCCAGCCCACCGTCTGCCTCGAATGCTACCTCCGCAAGGTCAAGTGTGATCGAAAGCGACCGTGCTCGACCTGCGTGCGCAGGGGCACCGAGCACCTCTGCAAGACCTTCAACACCAGCGAGCTCGATCCTGAAAGTGAGTCGTCAGTTCCAACACGAAACTTGCACCATCCACAATGATCTGCTGACAACATTCCGTCTGCCCTTCGTAGCCCTGCAAAAGAAACAGGCTAGGCGCTCGATGGCAGAGATCAACGCCATGCTCGACGCAACCACCGACGATGCCAGCGAAGACACCGATCCGCAGCAGCCACCAGAGCCCAGTGAAGCGTCCGAACATCCCATGATGGCCTTCATCAACCTCATGCTCAAGGACCTCAACACTACCGACGACGCATCCACCAGCAGCCATGCTTCACCCGACTCGGCCTCGCCTAGATCGAGCTCTCTGCTCCCCTCCAGAGCCGTGGTCTCGCAGTACCAGCAGAAGCCATGCTTGACAAAGATGCTCGAATTCTGCTCCATCCTACCGGACTGGTATCGCCTGCAGGCTCTCCTCCGAAGCTACCTCTGGAACGTCGATTGGAAGTTCCTCATCACCTGCCAGGACGCGCTCGAGACGCAGATGCACGACCTCTGGCTCCGCGTCATCTCTCCCGCCAAGAGCTGCGATCCTTACGCCGAGTCTACGCATTCGACGGCCGCCATCTCGTTCCAGCCGGGGGATCTCTCGCGTCTGGCTCTGCTCGCCAGCGTGCTCGGAGAGACGATCGAGTCGATGGATCCGGACGCCATCGCACAAAGCATGCCCGCCTCGCGTCCGGGCGTCGCGATCGCAGCGCCAATCAAGCTCGAGGCCGACGCAAACGCCCGTGTGCGCGCGCTTTTGATTCTGACCTACCACGTGCCCGCGCTCATCGAGGAGTGCGTCCGTCTCGACGAGATGACCATCGACCTTGTGCAGGCCAACCTCTCGGCCTTCTCGCTCTGGTCGAATCAAGGCTTGCACGGTACCGGCTCCACCGAGTTTCCGCGCTGGAACGTCACCATCCGCGCCGCCAAGCGCTGCAATCTGTTCGAGGACCCCGGAAGCAACGCCAGCTACTCGCAGCCCGAGCTCGACCATCGCAGGAGGCTTGCATGGCTCGTCTATGGCTACGACCACGCCTTTGCCGTCGGCGCCAACACGCGTCCGCTCATCGTCGAGTCGCAGTTCAGCGTGGACCAGCCGAGCGATGCGGCGCCGTGGTCTGCGTGCGGTGCACCCCGCGATGCGTGCCTCGCCATGCTCGAGGTGCAGGGCGGCAAGATCGCCGAGCTCGTCTCGAGCACGCTCTGCTACGGCCCGCCGCTGCATCGCAAGGCCATGGAGACCGACAGCAAGATCATGGCCATGATGGCGCAGCTGCATCCGTCGTACATGTGGGACAATCCCGATGTGTCGTTCGACCAGCTCGACCCGTTCCGCGCGCGTCGTAGGTGCTGGTTGCAGCTCACTACCGCCTGGCAGAGGGGCTCGCTGCACCGCCAGTTCTTCTTTCCCAACGGCCGCATCACCAACGGCGAGCTCGCCACCAGTCGGCACATCGCGACCGACAGCGCGCTGCGCTCGATCAATGCGGTGCGCGAACTGCGCAAGATGCAGAACCGCTTTTCCGACCACATGGGCTCCGCCTGGTGGTTCCAGTACCTCACCGAGCCAAGCATGACGCTCGCGACGGCCGCGCTGCTGCTCATCCGCAGCAGGGGCCAGGGCGTCCCCGGGCTGGCGAATGAGGCCAGCTGCTGGCCTACGATGATGCACTTTTCCAAGATGATCGACCTGTGCGTCGAGGATCTGGCGGCCTCGATGCAGAATTCCGCAGCTTGTCTGCCGTCGTTCCTCACGTTCGGACAGGGATGTCTGAAGCTGATCGAGCAGCTGCGGAGCGCGATCCAGACGAGCTTTGACGCGTTTGTCAAGTCGCAGCCGGACCTGGCGCGGTTGCATAATCTCAAGATCGACGAAAAGATCATTGCGCTGCTGCATCCGCGCTCGCGGCAGAAGAGCCCGAGCGGCACAACGCCCGGTGCGTCGCATGTGCACAGTCGCGAAGGAAGCAGCAGCGGTGGCGCCACTGCACCGGCCAAAGGCGTCAAGCGGCCGGGTGATGCTTCGGCTCGAGCATCTTTGTCGTCGCGCAACAAGACGGGAGCGAGCAGTCAGGACCAGCGCGGTGAATCGAGGCCCATCTCTCCCCGCTCCTCGCTGGCGGTTCCGGCGTTTGCGGGAGTGGCGTCGTCGAACCTCATGGCCACGGCTGGATTCGGACACAATGCGGCAGTGGCGACGCAGCTGTCTTCGCCGGATCACGAGGTGCCTTCGGGCGAGCTGAGCCTGTCGTTCGCGCCGAGCATGGTCTCGGCCATAGCGCCGGCTGCGGTGGCGGCGCCGCACTTTGGTGTGCCGGCACCTGTGCCCGAGGGCCAGTTGCTGTCGCCTGCCGAGCCGTTTGCGCTGCGCGATTTCTATACCGACGACGGCGTGCAGCGCGCCACGTCCGACTGGCTCACCTCGATCCATATGAGCGCCATGCTGCCGCAGCCGCCAACGTCGTAAGCCCGCCGTGCGGGCATTGTGTATACAGCATTCGAGTAATAGAGACTGTTGATAAAATGCATTGCATTGCAACGAGCTCAGAAGTGGATCGAGGGGAAGACGAGGCGGGGCACCTTGCGGAGGGCGGGATCGTCCTTTGCGAGCGACCAGAGGTATCCGTCGAGATCCACCTCGTTCATCCCCGCGAGCCAAGCCAAGTCCGAGTCCTCTTGGGCAAGTGCGTGGGCGCGTGCTACAACGTGGGTGGCGACGTTGAGTGTGGCTGCACGCACCGCGTACGTCTCGTCCTTGGACAGCACGGGTCCTGGTTGGTTAGCCGTAAGGTCGTCTAGCTTGTCGCGGCTAAGATCGGCATTGCAGTTGGCGGTTGCGATCCAGTGTACGAGAGTCTCGATCCCGGGGGCAGGGGAGTCGGGTGTTGAGATGAGGTCGAGCCATACACAGAGCGTGGGTAGAACGTTGTCGACGAACATCGGCAGCGTGTATGTGTTCGGCAGACCATACTCGGGCTTGTCGCCAAATCGAAGGTAGAGCGCGTGCAGGAGGAAAAAGATGCGCTTGAAGATGTACACCTCTTTCCCTGCTGCGGCGCTGGTGTTGAAGGTGTGGGTATCGCAAAACTCGGGGAAGGTCTGTGCGATCTGTGCGACCAGGTAATCCGTCGCCCGAGCCTCGTCGTGCTTCTGCTTGGCCTCAGCCATCAATCCCTCCAGATAGGCGCCCATACTATTCGCACCCAGTTCTGTCAACTTGCGTCCTACATTCTGCATGGCGGTGAGAATAAGCTGTACGGCATCGTTCATCTCTCCCCCCTTGATGCCCACCGTGACGCCGGGGAGGGAGTCGTGCGGCTTCTCCTCGTGCACGCTCACGCCGAGCAGCTCGACGATTTTGGCTTCCGTCATGTTTTGCATCCCCTTGGCGGTCAGATTCCCCGATCCTACTTGACGATCCTCGTCGCCGCCCGAGATGTACAGTCCGATCATGAGCCGGACGATGTTCTGGTACGCCCCCGCGCCCGTGGCCTTGTGGAATGCAGTGCGGTAGCCCGAGAGCGCATTGAGCAGCGACAAGATGGCGATAAAGTTGATCTCGGCGGTGGGGGTGGGGAAGCGCAGTGGGAAGGCCAGGCCGTGCTGCGTGCGCAGTCGGTTGTACGTGGCCTGGTCGAGGGTGCGCAGAAAGCGGTCGATCGAGGTGGCGTTGGGTGTGAGTCCGAGCGATGTCGAGATGGCTGAGCAGCTCTGGCGCGTAGCAGCGATGTACGCTGCATCGTGAGGCAGTGGCCAAGATGAAGCGGATGCCGACATTGCTTGCGAGCCTGCGAGTGTGGTTGTTGGTGGTGGCAGCGGCAGATGTGGAGAAGAAGGACGCGCGGTGTTGGACGTGACTCGGGTGTGCGAATAGCTAAGCATGTTAGAGCGAGCCAGAGATGGGAATTTTTTATTCGTGCGGTAAGAATTCTGCTGCGAGGCTTTCGAGGGCAAATTTGGGAGCTCACCTCGTCACCATCACGCACCACACCACCACGTTCTCATCGTCGTCGTCGACGCAGACATTGGCCAGGATGGCGTTCGGATCGACACTCTCGCGCTGCTCGCGCAAGCACATCAGCGCGTACGGCAGCGTGCTTGACCGATTCATGGTTTCCAACTCGGCTTCACTCGCCTCTTCTTCCTCCTCCGCGTCGTCCTCCTCGGCTGCCTCGACGTCATCTTCCCCGTCCGCATCGCTGTTCGAGGCGACCAAGTCCGAGGCCTCGGGCTGCTGGGCGCCTCCCAAGTACTCGCTGCGTCGCCAGGCGAAGCTCGTCAAGGAGGCCGCGCTGACCGGCCAGCTCGCAGCGTTGCCGGATGGCCCCAAGACCTCGCGCATCCAGACGAGGCTGGCACGGCTCGCGCAATCGCACGCTGCCGAGCAGCAGGCTGCAGAGTACCAGTACACCCCACAGCACACCGCCACGCCCGTGCGCCCCACCGCACTCGGCCAGCGCACCGTCAAGCCCAGCCAGCGCGTACCGCAGACCGAACACGACGCGGCCCTCGCAGCGGCTAGGAGGCTTGTGAAGGATGTCGGGCCGTACGCGGGTAGGGCCAAGGTGTTCAAAGGTAGCAGGGTGGACAAGAACAAGATCACGCGCGCCCACGCGGTGAACAACAAGCTCGAGGCCATGCAGAGCACCGTCCGAGAGTGGCACACTGTAAGTATCCAATGCGGCTGTAACCGAGGCTACAAAGACACACCCACTGACGCTGCA